GCCCTCTTCCTCGATCTGTAAAACTAATGATGCTGCATTGCTGACCATTTTTCTGTAGTCATATCTCCCTTTCCCTTTCTTCTTTGTTCCTGTTTTACTTTTAAGGACCCTTGTGAGTACCGGACCCATCTGGACAATCCAGGCTAATCTCTGTTTTTTAAAGTTGGTTGATCAGAAACCTTAATTCTGTCTATGGCATTTATTTCTGTTTGCTGTATAGTCAAGCATATTCATAGATTTGGGGATTAGGATTTGACATCTTTGAGAGGCCATTATTATGCTTACTAGAATATTAGATGGTGACAGGGAATTTTGTTTTATTTTTTGAGACAGGGCCTCACTATGTATGGTAGGCTGGCTTTGAACTCGATTATGTAGCCCAGGCTGACCTCAAAGTTACAGGGACACTCTTGCCTCAGCCACCTGAGTGCTGGGCTTAACTAAGCTCTCTAAAAGTTGAATAGAAGCTGGGTATGGTGCCAAACACCTGTAATCCCAGCCCTTGAGAGGATGAGGCAGGAGGATCACCATGAGTTTGAGGCCAGCCTGAACTACATAACAAGATCCTGTCTCAAAAAATAAGACAAAAATAATAGAACTTACTTAAAACAACTTGAGGGCTGAGAAATGTGTAGCTCAATGGTACAGCACTTGGTTAGCATGTTGAAAACCACAGGTTCAGTCCTTAAGACTGCAAAACGGGGCTGCGGATTTAGCTCAGCGGCATAAGCGCCTGCCTTGCAAGCAGGCGGTCGTGAGTTCGATCCCTGGTCCCGATAAAAGTGAAAAAGACAAAAAAAAAAAAAAAAAAAGTAAAAAAAAAAAAAAAAAAGACTGCAAAACAAACAGGCCCCACTATGCCTGTCCCATTTCCTTATAGCCTCGCCAACAAGGGATATTACCAGTTTTTTTATTTTGTGTGTATGGCTGGGATGAAGGTGGGGTACTACGGATTGAACCCAGGGCCGTCATACTGAGCTGTACGCCCAGTCCTGTTATTTTATTTTATTTTGTACCGAGGATCAAACTCACAACCTTACACTTACCAGGCAACTACTTAAGCCACTGAGCTAAGTCCCCAGCCTCTTTTAAGTTTTTGAGACAAGTATGATAAGTTGCCTTGTCAGGACTCCAATTTGTGATCCTCCTGCCTCTGAATTTTTGTTATAATCACTGCCTCTTAATTGATGAAGATGGAGGAGTGATACCCACTCTGTTTACAGCAGTTGCCAAAACGGACACCTGCTCCTGAACAAGTGAAATTGATAGTAGTTTATGTTATATCCAATCACAACACAGGAAGAGGACACCGCAAATCCTGCAAAGCCACAGGAGGGTTGCACTTGAGAACGGAGTAAACAACCAGGGGCTATGGGACACAGGCATTATAGAAACCAGAGGATGTTGTACCTCTTGGCTCCTGCAAGAGATGTGCTTGGCCTGTTTGAATAATTCTGAAGGTTGTCAGGGGACGAAAACCCTCTACTGAGAGATAAGCAGGAACTGCACCTGGCCCATTTGATAAGAGGATTGTTAGGCTAGGGATCTTATCCACAGGCCCTAAGAGGGAGAGAAGCTTGAGGTTAGGCCATTCAGGGCCCTCCTGATTTAACAAAGTCAAGGCAGCACATGATATTGAATCTAAATTTCAGCTGTTCCTAGTTTATTAGGAAAGTTTCTTCGGATATTTATTTATTTATTTATTTAGAGACAGGGTCTTGCTATGCAGTTCAGGCTGGCCTTGAGCTCACTTTGTAACTCAGGCTGATCTCGAATTTGCAGTGATCTGCCTGCCTCAGCCTCCCAAGGTGCTGGGATTACAGGCATGTGCCACCACACCTGGCTGGATATTTATTTATTTATTTATTTATCAGTACTGGGATCGAACTTACAACCGGCCTGCTTGCAAGGCAGATGCTTATGCTGCTGAGCTAAATCCCCTGCCCCTGGATATTTATTTTGAATGATTTTTTTTTTATGGTGCTGGAGAATTGAACCCAGGGCCAAGGTCTTGTGCATGCAAGGAAAGAACTTTACTACTGAGTCATATCCCTAGCCCTGTATTTTTCTCTCTTTCTTTCTTTTGCTTTATTTGGTCTGGAACTCCTGATTTGCTGGAACTACAGGCACACTGCCACTACACCCGGCTGTGCCTAGTTTCATTCAATGATTGCTTTTTTCTTTAGCAAACTCATAGCTTATTAACTTCATATGCATAGTATTTAATTTTATTTCCTTGAATTGTACTCAGGATTATTCCCTCTGAACTGTTATGATTGGTTTGTGGTTTTCCTTTCTATGCTGCTGTTATCAGAAATTGGCAAAGGGGAATTGTGGCTTCATAACATGAAATAACATTGTCTTTTCTGTACTCTGGTTTACAGGATGAGGATGATTTGTTTAGTGAAAGTTTGAGAGAATTTTTCCATTGAACTATATCAATTTAGACTTTTTTGGACTTTTCCTGGATATTTTCAACATCTTCTGTTACCATTTTCCAAAAAATAGTCTACTTTATCAAGGTTTTCCTCTGCATTAGAACAGATAGTGTTCTCTTCTTTTGGTATTTCTGAAGATGTGAAACCACATTCTCCATGAAATAGGAATAGAGAACTCTAAAGAGAAAGCTGAAATCCAAATTACACCTCTCCTTTAAGGAAAAAATAATAAAGGTAGAGGGAAATTGACTGAAATACAAATAAATAAGTACAATAAAATGTCTTATTGTCAAAAAGTACTCAACTGGAGCAAATTAAATCTGGGATGGTGAGGAATGACAAGATTCTTTCCCAGTATGAAGAGAAATAGAACAAAAATTTGACAATGGTGTTCCAATGTGGCAGTCTTAGGGCAAGGAAAAAGATCTGTTTACAGAATGGACAGGAACATATTAGAAGATTTTTCTAAGCTAATGAGACATCCTTTGTTTCTGGGAAATGGATAAAGGCCCCATAAAAACTTACATTGGCAATATGTTTTTACTTTGAGAATAAAATGCCTACAAGCATCAGGCCTTAAGCATACAAGCCCAATTTTGCTACCATTTTCAGTGCTACAAGACAATGAGGTAAGGACAAGAGAATCTTGTAAACATTTGCACAGCCAAGAAGCCATTTTTACCTAGGGCAAAGGCTTAGAGAAATTGTCCTTTCTGAAATCACCAGTCATGTGAGAGATGGGTCCAAGTGACGAGTAGAACATAAGAAACTGGCAATGACATTGAAACTAACTAAAAATAGGGCTGGTAGGGAGCCAGGGATATAGCTCATCAGTGCAATGTCTGCCTGAAAAGCATGAGGTCTTTAGTTTGATTCTTAGTACCCACAAAAATAACCCAAGCTAAGTGTGGTGGTGCATGCCTGTGATCTCAGCACTTGGGAGACTGAGGCAGGAGAATTGCTGCATGTTGTTGGAGGCCTGCCTGAACTGCATAGAGACCTTGTCTCAAAAAGACCAAAAAAAGAAAGAAAAAAAAAAAAAAAAGCCAGAGAAAGTGCTAAAAATAGGCTGGAAAAAGCCAAAAGTGATTGAAAAAGAGCATTGTTTCTGTAGTGCTGAATCCAGGGCCTTATGTGTGCTATGCAGGCGCTCTGCCATTTAGCTACACCTTGACAGAAAGGAATCTATGTGGTGACAGATCTCTGGGAGGATATACCAGGATGATGACCTGGAAAGTTTACCAGTTTAGTAAGACTTTGTCTCAAAATTTTTAAAAAAGGTGGGGGGGCTGGAATAGAAAGGCCCTGGGTTCAATCCCTGGTAACACACACACACACACACACACTCACAAGCAAAAGTTGGGTTTATCATCCCAGATAAAGTGAACAAGTAAAAGGTGTGAGTGTAAAAGGTACATTTACATTTTTCATAAGGTCCATACACAACCCCATAAAATATACAAAAGTTTTTCAATTTCTCATTTACATAACACTGCAGACATCTGTCATTAGCTAATTTGAGATATAAATTAAAGGCAATCATAAGCAGAACTAAAACCAGGCTTTTGGCCTTAAAAGTCGTAGACAAACAAATGTGGAAAAAATTTAGAAAATACTAATAAGTAAAAACTAAAATTGAATGACAAAAGACGAAGGACAGCACTGTCACAGCAGAGATGTAATGTGTTAAATCCCAGACTGCGCTGTGGCTGTTAGGACAGACCCTGGTACCTCCCCGGCTTTGGCTAACACTGAGCCCTTAGCCTCGCTTCCTTCCCCACGAGGCTAGGACTACAGTTCAAAGCCGACTCCCTGTTCCGGGCAGGCCTCCTGGGCCGCCGGGTAATCCCACACAGTGAACGCGGGCCACGCGCATGAAGCTGGTGCGGAGTCGGAGATTAAGCCCTTACTTCGCTCTCTTTCACCCGGGCATGCAATTTGGGGGCTGGAGCCGGATCTCAAACCAGGCATGGGGCGCAGAGCAAAGCGCTACAACACTGCTTCTGTGCAGTGTGTGTCTTTCCTCGCACCTTCTAGACGGCAAACCTTCTTAAGCAGCAAGTTTCAAATCGGCTCCGCTTGCTGGTGGACATAGTTTTGGCTTTTACACCTCCCACAAGCCTGTCCGCCGTCCCACAGCCCAGGCGGTTTTTCCTCTGCGTTGTCAGATCCACCCGCGACGGCTGGTCCCACCCCCACCTAGCAGACATGCGGGGTCTCAGACGCCTCTCTGTTTCCAGAATAGCAAGCGTAAGAGAGGATTGGGGCTCTGAGCTGAGAGTCTCTTCCTTAACCAGAGGGTCTTGTCCCCCTCCCCAAAGATGGGATGGGGGGCGTGGTCCCGCTGGGTGTCTTGGAGAGGAAGAATTAGGGGCTCAGCCCTAAGGTTTCGGAGGGCGGGTACCTGGCGACGGGCAGCGGGACTCCGGCAGACTTCTGCCTTACAGGGGGTGAGCCCGAGTCCCACGTGAGGGCGGGACCGCAGCCACCGAGGGGTTAAGGCACCGCGCCCCGCCCCAGCCCGAGGATTGGCGGCCCTGGGGGGCGTGGCAGGAGGGCGGGCTCGCGTTTGCCGCAGCCGCTGAGGGGCGGGGAGCGGGAGGGGCGCGGAGCGGAGCCGGGCCCGCGCCGTGCGCCCCGCCGGGCGGGCTTCGGGCTGCGCCAGCGAGCCGAGTCGGTGGCGCCGCGTAGGAGATCCTGCACTGGACCCTGAGGCAGCGAGTAAGTGAAGCAGGCCCACCCTGGTGTTCCTCCTGGTTGTGAACTGCCGCGGTGTCCGCTGCACCGTATGGCTGGACTGGGAGCAGGGGAGGGGGGCGCGTCCCGCTCCTGGGGTCCCGGGGGGAGGGGAGCAGAGATGAGGCCGATGATGTCATGGATGCTTCACCCGGCCCTGGGGGAGGCGGCCGGAGGGGGTGCGGCCGGGATTATGTCACCTCTTCCCTCTGCGCCCCGCCCCCCGGGGCCACACAGGTTGGTGGGGAGTCCGGGGAGGTGGGACCGGATTTCCTCTACTGCAGAGACCCTCGGGCACCTCTGCCGATCGCCTGTGGCCGGTGTCTGTATCTGTTGGCGCAGCGAGCTTTGGGCTGCTGGTGAATAGCAAATCCCTACCCCCCTCTACCGCCCCCAGCAGAGGCTTGTGCGAGCCCGTGTGTGCTCTGGATGGGGTGGGTGCGCTGTCGGCCCCCTCAGTCCTGAAGCACCAGTTTCATCATAGCCAGGATCTAAGGGATGGGCCCTCTCCTTTGCGATGCCCACACCTCCAAGGGAAGATGCATCTCCACTTACACTTCCCAACCTAGAAGTTGTGGAGGTCTCTGCACCCCGAAAGCTCTACAGTGCCCCTGGGTCTCTTTCCTCCCTCAGTCCTTCATCCTAAAGCCCTTCCTGGTTTCTCTGCTTGGATTCATTGCCCATTTGCATAGCTTATAACTAGTATTCCCACATGCATTCATCTTGCATGTCGTGGTGCCAGAGCCCAGAGGCCCCTAGAACACTTGCCCCTGGGCCATCCACCATCCAGCCCTGGGGTGTCTTCAGAGTGAAATCTCTCTGGGGTGTCTTAAGCCAAGTGCAGCAATACTCTTGAGGTATGAGGGATGCTGTCTTGAGCAGCAGCTTTTGGAATGGTTCTAGAAAGATATGGGGTGGGCTCAGAGAACTGAGAAAAGATTGTGTGTGGAGTGGTGAAGAGCTTAGGTCATGGAAGATATGGGAAGGGCATCAGGAGGGGTCTTGGGGAACCTACTGCAAGCTCTGCTTGGGTCTGGGGACTAAAAGGAATATGAAGCATTTTACTCATAATACATGTACTTCTTAAAATTCCTGCAAGCTATGTGTGAAAACTGAAGGTGAAATAACCTGCATGAGGTTTCCACCCCTTATCGGTCAAGCTGTGATTTATACTTGGAGCTGATGCACTAGAACTCCATCTACTGCCCTTGACCCTGTTCATGGAAGGATATGGGCAGAGCAGAGATGAGATTGGCTTTGCCCTTTAGAAGGAGTCCCCCCGGCAGCTCAGGGAGGAAGTGCAGAAAAAAAACCAGTGAAGACACCAAGCAAGGGTGCTGGCAGGAGGGGCTATTGAGATCTTTAGGAAGCAGAATGGTCTGGATTTGGGACCTTTGAGACCCCAAGCATGCCTACCTATGGGTGGGCCTGGGTGGTCACAGTGATTTGGAAGGACCTGCATTTAGCCCCTTTGTAATCACTAATACAATGCACAATGTCTTAGGCACTTAAGTTTGATGGAACAGAGATAGAAGCAGTCAGGCAACAGGCTGTCATCCCATGCTGAGGCCACAAGCCTGCTGTTGTGGACCACAGTCAGTTACAGGGGGGGCAGTTCAGGATCTTGACCTTTCCCTGCATTTCTTGCTTATCAGGAAAAGCATCCTCTTCCTTGTCCTTCTAGCTCCCTGCTGGGGTTTTGAGAAAAGCTACAACAGTCCAAGCATGGGAGAGGCAAAGTGCAAAGAACACTTGCAAGGGGTTGATCATAACAGGTTAGAAATATGGGTAAGAGTCAGGTATGGTGGTGCACATATATAATCCCAGAACGCTGAGGTAGGAGGATAGCTGTGAGTTCGAGGTCAGCCTGGACTACCTAGTGAGTTCAAGGCCAATTTGAACTACATAGTGAGACCTTGTCTTTAAAAAAAAAGGACAAAGAAAAATAAAAAACATGGTCAAGAATGGAGAGGGAGGCTCCAGGGAGAGCTTCTATTGGTTGACAATGAAGGATTCTTCAGGTAGAGCACCGGGGAGGCTCAGAACTTGGCATCTGAGCCTAACAGGAGATCACACATACCCTAGGCAGTTAAATAGAGGATCCAATGATTAGCCCACATCTATGGTCAGGTTCTCCTTTCCTGGATCTCAGAGGAGGTCGTGCTGCATGGTTCTATTACATCTCACAGTTTACAAAGCAGCCCTCCAAACATTACCCCTTGTCATGATCCACATGTTCACCTCTGAGGTTTGTTTCTGGTGACACGCAGGCCCTTGGTGCAACCCTCCCCGCAGCTAGAGCCCTGCCTGTATCTTTACCTTTTATCTTAGTGATGCCTTCCTTTGACGCATCAGCATATTCAACATTTGGTGGGGTTAGTGCTGGGTTGAAACCCAGGGCCTTTTGCATGCAAGGCAAAAACTACCACTGAGCCACATCCCCAGCCCTCAGATTTCAACCATCTTTAATTTTAAAATTAAAAAAGCATTTGGAGCTGTGGTGCATACCTGTAATACCAGCACTTAAGAGGCTGAGACAAAAAGATCACCGTAAGTCTGAGGCCAGCCTGGGCTATATAGTGAGTTCAAGGCCAGTCTGTATTACATAGTGAGACCCTGCCTCAAAAACCAAACCAAACAAAAAAAAAGCACTTAGATCTCAAACCTCTTTAGTGATGGTTTTCTCTGGCCTCTTTTAGTAGTGAACTCTGCCATCTCTTCTGTCTCTGCACTCCTCCACTCTTGTGTTCTGCTTTTGCCTTGTACCACTTTTCTAAAGCCATTCTGATACAGATGCCAGTGATGTCTTCAGCTGCCAAATCCAGGGCACACTCTTCTATCTCGGTTGTGCCTAGTCCCTTTCTTTTTAGTAGAGAAGAGCTTTTTTTCTTTTTGAGACAGTCTCACTGATGTCCAGGCTTAGCAATCAATTCCCACACACAGGTGGTCCTCTCCAGTAGCTGGACTGTGGTGCACACCACCACACCCATCGAGGACTCTTGGCATTTTTTCTGCTACCACAAGACTTCCCAGACCTCTGGGGCCCTGCCCACCTAGCTTGAAACGACCCACCCACACCACCCTTCGATGCTGACAATTCTAGTCTCTTTCTCCACCCAGCGCATGAAAGGCATCTTTCTTTGGTCTTTGCTAAAGCCCCCATTTGTCCTAAGCAATCTTCTCTTGTGTGTTAAGGGTATCACATCTACCCTGGTGCCCCAGCCCAAACACCTCCATTATCCCCACCACCTGAAACCCAACTGTTTGAGGTTTTACTGGTTCCTCCTTCTTTAACCTGCACAGCCTTCCCACTAGTTTGAAGCCCTGGGCCAGTGAGCCTCTATCTTCCCAGTCCCTGCTGCTTCCTACATTGCACCCAAGTATGGCAAGAGAAAAGGGCCATGTTTAGACTAGGTTTCTAGGCCAAGGGGTAGAATGCTGGAGACTGGAGTCTCATTAGGGACTAGGGTAATGCAAGTGAGGCCTAAGGCACAAAATTTATGAAGGCCTCTCTGAGAGGGAGTATGCATCCTGTACTTCATCTGCACCCTTGGGCCTCTCTTGCACCAGCCTGGTCCCCAGCCCTGTGTTGGAACAGACTGATTGGAAGAAGGAGGTCAGATAAGAGAATGGAACTCTACAAAGATAATGGATCAGCTTGATAGTGACCTTTCCCACCATCCAGGGCTGTAATTTCTGGTGTGACTAGAAGATCCCAAAAGGGAGTTTCGTCAGGCTGTCTTGGTCTGAAGCCTGATAGGAAGGTTACAGCATTAGAACTGGACTTCTGTCTCCTGTAATCCTAGCACTTGGAAGGCTGAGGCAGGAGGAACATTGCAAGTTTGAGACCAGCCAGCAGCCTGGGCTACAAAGTGAGCCTAAGGCCATGCTGAACTGCCTAGCAAGACCCTGTCTCAAAAAGGCACGCAGGTGCGCGTGTGCGCATACACACACACACACACACACACACACACACAAACCAACTTGCACTTTTGGGTAGAAGACCTATGCTGAGCACTCAAGGAACATTCCATGAATCTCTTTACCTTACCATGAATCTCTTCCTGCCTTGTTTCTGGGGGAACTATGGCTCAAGGGCCTGAAGGGTGCTTCTTCCAGTCTCTGGCACACATGAGTGGCTAGCCAGGGCCGGCACTGCTTGGCGACCCTGTCAGGCCGGATTATGCAGGTCTCTAGAACAGGTGATCACAAATGCGGATTTGAGACAAAGGAACCAGGAAGCAGGGCTTCCCCACAGCACAGGTAACCCGAGGGCCTGCTCCCCCTTCTCCTGTGGGCCGGCGTTTCGGGAGGGGGCGCATACCCACAGAACTGGCTAGAAGGACTTCACCGTACTGAGCTGGGTCAAGGTCCACTGGGAGGGGGGAGGGGTAATCCAGGAAGTCTTCCTGGTGGCAATGCATTCCTAGCAGGGCTCCGCAGGCCTGGGATCCTCTGGGGCACAGCTGGGCCTGGAGGCTCTGCCCCGATCCCCACCCCCATCTGTGGGAAACGCAGGCCCCGAGGGAGGCTCCATCAGTCAGCTCCCACTGCTGGCGAAGCCGCGGCCCTGCCTCAGACGGTTCGCGGACCTCTGCAGAGTGCTGAGCTCGGGGAGGGCGGCCCCTTGGAGCCAGGTTCCCATGAGGTCGCGCTGGGAAGATCTCCGGGAGGGATCCTTCGCCACCTGCTGCTGCGCAGCAGTCCATCCGCCCGCAGCTCCGCCCATTGCACCCCAGGACCTCCATCCGCCCGCAGCTCCGCCCATTGCACCCCAGGACCTCCATCCGCCCGCAGCTCCGCCCATTGCACCCCAGGACCCCAGTTTATCCCTGTGTCCGCTGCCTCGCGCACGTGGCGCTCGGCAGCCCCACGAGGTAGGTTCTTCCTTCCTCCCATTTCGCAGAGGAGAAAACTGCAGTCCGGAATGGCTCGGTCAGCCCGTTCAAAGTCGTGCAGCCGGTTTGGGCCGAGCCCCCACTGTGAGAGTGAGCCACATGACCCCTGCAGGCCGGGCCTCGGAAGGTGCCAGGCTTGAGGACCCGGCGGCCCACCCGCCCCTTTGGAAAGGCAAGGAGAGGAGCCTGCACTGGTAGTGGCTTCCACTTCTGCCCTTGACTGCAACACCCTAGGGTAGGGAGCTAGGAAGGACCCCCACCCTCAGTTTTTGGATAGGGTTGTTTCTCGCCCTCCCTTAACTTTTGAAATTCCCTATTGGATGTACTGGTCTCCTATTCCAACCCAGATAGAGGGCCCTGATCCAAGAGCCCCTAAATTCTGAGAGTTGCAGCCAAAAGCTGAAGTGGACCCTGAATCTGGGAGGCTGCGGTGGAGGAAGTTGCTGAGCTGAACACAGCAGGGAGGGTGTGTGCATGGTGCCCTAGAGCAACAGGCAGCGCCCACTAGCAGGCTAGCACCATTATCCAGCCTTATTTCTTCACCTGGGATGCTTGGAACCCTCATCCCCATTGTAGAGAAAGGGGACAGTGAGAGGCTGGGGCTGACTTGGCTGGGGTGGTGGGAGTGGAAATGGGGTCTGACCTCTGCATTCCTATCTGTGTCCCCAGGGCCCTCTTGGCATAGTCATGGCGAAGCTGGAGACATTGCCTGTGCGTGCCGACCCAGGGCGGGATCCCCTCCTGGCCTTTGCCCCACGGCCTTCTGAGCTTGGACCCCCAGACCCCCGGCTGGCCATGGGCAGTGTGGGCAGCGGGGTGGCCCATGCCCAAGAGTTTGCCATGAAAAGCGTGGGCACCCGAACAGGGGTTGGGGGCAGTCAGGGCAGTTTCCCTGGCCCCCGAGGCAGTGGCAGTGGGGCCAGCAGGGAGAGGCCTGGCCGATACCCCTCTGAGGACAAAACTCTCGCCAACTCCCTCTACCTCAATGGCGAGCTACGGGGCAGTGACCACACGGATGTCTGTGGCAATGTGGTGGGCAGCAGTGGTGGCAGCAGCAGCAGTGGTGGCAGCGACAAGGCCCCACCACAGTATCGTGAACCCAGCCACCCACCCAAGCTACTGGCCACTTCTGGCAAGCTAGACCAGGTCAGTCACCAGGGTCTAAGACCCTCACAGCCCTTTTCTAGGGTAGGAGTAGCCCAGAGAGGAGGGCAAGGTGGGCATTCTTATATGGGCCAGATGGCAGCTGGGTGGAAGTGTGTGGGGTGGAGCCCTGGGGCCCAATTCAGATAGTGGATTCAAAACAGAGACCTGGCTTGGAGATACAAGAGAAAAACCTAGAAGGGGGATTTAGGGTAAAGGTCTAGTAGGGTGGGAGGTGGTCTTGGCAAGAGGGCAGAGGCTGGGACCTAGGGCAAGGGACTCTTGGGCAAGACTAAGGCCTCATTCTGATGCCCCTCCCCCTGCCTTGCTTTTATGCAGTGCTCAGAGCCACTAGTTCGGCCGTCGGCCTTCAAGCCTGTTGTACCCAAGAATTTCCATTCCATGCAGAACTTGTGTCCCCCACAGACCAATGGGACCCCTGAGGGACGACAGGGCCCTGGTGGTCTCAAGGGTGGACTGGACAAGTCTCGGACCATGACCCCAGCGGGCGGGAGTGGGGGTGGCCTTTCAGACTCAGGCCGGAACTCACTCACAAGCCTGCCCACCTACAGCTCCAGCTACAGCCAGCACCTGGCCCCCCTCAGTGCTTCCACCAGCCACATCAACCGCATCGGCACTGCCAGCTACGGTAGTGGCAGCAGCAGTGGTGGGGGGTCGGGATACCAGGACCTGGGGACTTCAGACAGCGGGCGGGCCTCCAGCAAGAGTGGGTCCTCATCATCCATGGGGCGGCCAGGCCACCTGGGATCTGGGGAGGGTGGGGGTGGAGGCCTGCCATTTGCAGCCTGCTCACCACCCTCGCCCAGTGCGCTGATCCAGGAGCTGGAGGAGCGGCTGTGGGAGAAGGAGCAGGAGGTGGCAGCTCTGCGGCGCAGCCTGGAGCAGAGTGAGGCGGCTGTGGCCCAGGTGCTGGAGGAGCGGCAGAAGGCATGGGAGCGAGAGCTGGCTGAGCTGCGGCAGGGCTGCAGCGGGAAGTTGCAGCAGGTGGCTCGCCGTGCCCAGCGTGCCCAGCAAGGCCTGCAGTTGCAGGTGCTGCGGCTGCAGCAGGACAAGAAGCAGCTGCAAGAGGAGGCAGCCCGGCTGATGCGACAGCGAGAAGAGCTTGAGGACAAGGTGGCCGCCTGCCAGAAGGAGCAGGCCGACTTCCTGCCCAGGATGGAGGAAACTAAGTGGGAGGTGCGGGCAGGGGACTCCAACCCCCTTCCCCTATCTGATTTTCCTTTCTTTTGGCCCTCTGGAGAACTTAGAACCCAGGTTACTGTAAGGGTGAGGAAATGTCAAAAAGGATGAGGGAACCGAATCAATTTGGTATGTGAGGATAGGAAGCTGTCCCTTGGGTAGTGTAAAATGAGCCAAGACCATGCTGAGCCCCACAGGGAGGTCTGGGTGTCAACCATGTCCTGTTTGATGTGGGCTGAGCCTCAGCCCTGGGGAAGTTTGGTACCTATGGTGCTAGATATGGGCGTCAGGTTTCTGGGAGCAAAGCTCTGCCTTGACCCTGGCTTCTCTTCCCACCTGCCCCTGCACAGGTGTGCCAGAAGGCTGGCGAGATTTCCCTTCTGAAGCAGCAGTTGAAGGACTCGCAGGCCGATGTTTCTCAAAAGCTGAGTGAGATCGTGGGGCTGCGATCGCAGCTGCGGGAGGGCCGGGCTTCGCTGCGAGAGAAGGAGGAGCAGCTACTTAGCCTGAGAGACTCCTTCGGCAGCAAACAGGCGAGCTTGGAGCTGGCTGAGGGTGAGCTGCCTGCTACCTGCCTCAAGCCGGCACTGACCCCCGTGGACCCAGCCGAACCACAGGAGGCACTGGCCACCTGTGAGAGTGATGAGGCCAAAATGCGTCGTCAGGCTGGGGTGGCCGCTGCTGCGTCCTTAGTTTCCGTGGATGGGGAGGCAGATGTTGCGGGGGAGAGTGGGACAAGGGCTTTGAGGCGGGAGGTGGGGCGGCTGCAGGCCGAGCTGGCTGCTGAGCGGCGGGCCCGGGAGCGCCAGGGTGCCAGCTTCGCAGAGGAACGTCGCGTGTGGCTGGAGGAGAAAGAGAAGGTCATCGAGTACCAGAAGCAGCTGCAGTTGAGTTATGTGGAGATGTACCAGCGCAACCAGCAGCTGGAGCGGCGGCTTCGGGAGCGTGGGGCGGCAGGGGGTGCAAGCACGCCTACGCCCCAACATGGCGAGGAGAAGAAGGCCTGGACCCCCTCCCGCCTTGAGCGCATCGAATCCACAGAAATATGATCCTCCACCTGGGCACGTGGCCCTCTGACAAGTGTCCTGTCTGAAGGCCCCAGTCTCCAGGATCCCCTCCCTCCATCTCCCTTCCCCATGTTCCCAGATCCCCAGACCAAAGAGGTTCTCAAAGCAGCTGTAACCAGGCTCCTCCTGCCCCCTTGGCACCCTCCCAGCTCTAGCACTGCCTGTGTGGGCAGTCACTTGCACCTCCTCCTGAGGAGGGATGTGAGAGGGCAGATGAGTGAGGGTGAGGGCCCAGGTAGTAGGGAGCATTCTTCCCTTCTGGGCAGCCCCTTGTTGGAGATGGAGGCAGCAGGCCTGCAGTGCTGGCAAGGTGCCACAGCCCCTCAGGGTCCGGGCTGTTGCTGATGGCCACTTGTGTCTAGCGATGCTCTCTGTGCTCACCTCCTAGGCCGTTGAGCCTGAGGGGGCCTGCATGAGTCTGCCAAGGTCGACAGACTCTGGGCTCCTGGCCTCTCTCCTCCTGTGGTGTTTTCCCTCCCTGGGTAGACTGGCAGGACATGTGGGAGCAGATGGCCTGCCTGTGGTTGAGAGGGCTGCCTGCCCAGCCCCTCCCCCCCAAGGTCTCTTGGGCTCAGGCCTCAGAGTCTGGCCTGGTCTTGAGTGTGTGTCCCTATGCATGTGTTAGGGGAGGGCAGGGCTGGGATTAGCAGTTCAGTGCCCAGGGAGATCTGCCTTCCTGTTCTTGGAAAGGGTTACTCAGAGGCTTAGACCTTTACCCTGCCAACCAGGATCCCCCAGGGCAATCACCCCAGCTTCTTGGCCGACCCCACACCCAGGGCCACTGTCTGGCTCTAACTACAGCTATTAAGTGCTACCTGCCTCTCAGGCACTCCCCTTGCCTAGTTTCTGAGGTCAGATGAGCGTCTGTGATGTCTTCCTGAATCTTCCCTCCCCCACCTCCCCTTGCCTCCTGCTTTCATGCTCAGAATATCATCTTCCCAGGCTGCCTCTTCCCCAAAGTCTCACCTTTTCTTCCAGTAGAAAATCCTGCTTGACCTTTGGTGCACTGTGTGCTTCCCAGCTCCACTGGCCTGAGCCTGAGCCTGAGGCCTTTGTTTTAGGGGCCCAGGAAGGGTTGGATGTGATTGCCCTTGAAGAACAAGGCTGACCTGAGAGGGACACACTGTGGTGTTCCTTGTCTAGGCTGTGAGTTGGCTCAACAATTTGTCCTGGGAGGCTTGTCAGGGTTACCATTGGGGGTTGAGACAACAGTGTCACTTCCTTCTCTAGGAGCCCTCTCAGAGTTTATCTCCCCAAGCCAGAAAGGGAAATTCTAAGTTCCCATCTAAGAAAGCAAATTTATAATTCACCAGCAATAAAAATTGGAGGAGGCTTGGTCCTTAGCCCTTGTATTTCTCTTTTTCACTCTCTCTCCCACTCTCAATATTGAGTTTGGGGGCAGGGTAGAGAGAGCTGGCAACTACTGTGAGCAAGTTCCCCCAACCCTGACCAGCCTCCTCCATGACTGGTGACTGTTTAATGAGCTGTGCATCCCCCACAAAAACAGGAGGCTCTGCGTGGCCTCTTACCTGCACAGCCTCCTCTGGGTGGTCCCCACCAGGTCTCTGAGCTGGGTGGGAAGCCACCCTGTCAATCACTGCCCATTCCACTCACCCCACACTGCACCTGTCCTAGAACCTGGGCCTGAGCCACAGGGCCTGGGAGAAGAAGAGAAAAAAGAAAAAAAATATGAACAGTCTCAGCTTTGGGATGTCCAACCACAAAATAAATTATATATAAATATATATAAATATATATCTCTACCATATGTGATGGAAAGACTTTTCGTTTTCCTTTCCCAAAGAAATAAAACAGAGAAAGCCTCTTGAATGGCCTTCTGTCTTTGCAGGTATGGGAGGCAAGCCGGGGGGTTGGGAATATGGAGGGCAGAGCTGGAGTAAACATTTCCCAGGGGATAAGGCCAGAGGTGCTCACTGGGCCATGCCAGGAGGTTGGCCCAAAGCCCAAATTCTTCCATGTTGCCCAGCAGGAGTTGTGGTTCCACCTCTGTGCCCAATGGGGCTTTCTCTTCCACTCACACGCTACTGTTAAAAGAGCTCAAGGCTGCCTGTAGCTCAGAACTGGATATCAACCTGCTGGCTAAAAGCCAGGAGATGCAGGACAGCTGGATACAGCTTGCAGTGATTTCAGCCACTTTACAATGATTGTAGTGTTTGAGGGCAAAACACATAAAAGTGAAGGCTGAGAGAAGGTTTGCAGTTAGTGGCAAAAGGATCCCAATGTACTACATATCAGGGAGCTGTACTTTTATAGTTCTGTTCTTACAAAGTTCTGTAACTGAGAATGCACCTTGCATTTGGGGAAGGTAAGGCAGGAAGAGTGCATCTTCAAGGCAAGCCTGAACAACTGGTGACTCAGCAAGACGCTTTCTCAAAATAAAAAAAGGGCTGGAGTTGGGTACAGTGGCACAAGCCTGTAATCCTAACACTTGGGAGGCTGAGGCAGGAGATTTGTCATGAGCTTGAGGTCAGCCTGTGCTACATACACAACAAAAACAAGGGCTGGGGAGGTAGTTTAGCACAAAGGCCCTGAGTTCAATCTATAGTATTGCAAAAACAGTAATAACAAAAAATTTTAAGTAACACAACCTGACTTATGGGACTTTTTTTGTGTGTGTCTTTTTGAGACAGGGTCTCATGTAGTTCAGGCTGGCCTTGAGCTCATTTTGTAGGGTCTTGAACTCACAATGACCCTCCTTCCTTAACTTCCCAAATGCTGGGATTAGAGGAGTACACTACCATGCCTGTTTTCTTCTTTTTTAAGGACTTTAAATTTTGCTTTATTTTTCCTCACCTAATAAGAAGTCTGGATGTGGGTGTCACAGGTTTTGGCTCATTGCAGACCTAAACCAGTGATGGCAAACCTTTTGGAGCTTTCTTTCTTTCTTTCTTTCTTTTTCTTTCTTTCTTTTTTAATCGGTACCAGGGATCGAACTCACGACTGCCTGTGTGCAAGGCAGGTGCTTATGCCACTGAGCTAAATCCCCAGCCCCGCTTTTGGAGCTTTCAATGACACACCCTGCTGCAGCATACATACCATAGATTTACCACCACAGACCTAGATTTTTTATCTTACCCTTCTCCCATCCTAGTGTGTTTTTCCTCTTTGCCACAAAGTGGCTGCCATGTGTTCTGCGATGGGATTGATCTCACCACTTTATCACAAAAGTAAAAGCTTTCCCAGAACCCTACCAGCACCCTTTTAAATCTTATTGATCAGAGTGAGTCACAATTCTTGGTACTTCAGGCAAGACTGGAAATTCAGTCTTTGGCTTTTGGCAAAGAGGAACAGAATTGTCACAGCTTCCTAGGAAGTAATCATAATTCATCTCCTGGGTATAGGCTCTCTGCTGTTTGTGGGTACTGCTGGCCTTGTAACCACTAATCGAGTTTTCTCTGTTCAGCCCCGTTGACAGAACCCGCCCTCAACAGTAGCATTAGGGGTCTGGGGCCAAAGGTTCACAAATATAAAAGCAGTGCCCTCCACAGAGCTCAAGAGGGCGCCCTGGAGGATGCATGATTTCTCAGATTTCCTTCACAGTCGTCAGGATGGATGGTCGGTGTCTCAGGCATTGACGAGGTACGCATATTCCGATCAGCCGCTCTCACGTACCCTCAGTACCCCTGACAGGTAGGAACTCTGTACTTTGTCTAGGTGTCCCCCGCCCCCAGCCCTCAAGTGTGGAAGATCACAGCTCTGGCCTTCTCAAGTTCCAGCTTTGAAACATCTGTCTCCCCATCACTAATTCTTCTGTTGAGAGCACTTTACAGATACATGTCTGTTGTAAGTGTACTCAGGTTCCACTTATCGTTGCTGACGAAAAACTAAGCTTAGAGACTTTTCCTGACATCCCCACGGCCATAAAACACTGAATAGGGTTCTGGGGCTTGAACCTGAGTCAACACTGCTCAATTATTAACAGAGCGATCTATCTAGGATAGTCTTTTCCCTTTGCAGGTCCCAGACTCCTTCAGTCTCTTTATCAACGCCCTCTTGTGCAAAATGTCCTTGGAGAACGCTGACAGTCTTTTGAGCCTCCGCCGCTCCCGTCAGTACGCAGTGGGCGGAAGTAAAGAGCAGCCGGCCGGAAGTGGGACTGTAGGGAGGCTAGGCATTGCCGCAGGAGTATGTATGAGGCCAGAGCCTGCGGTATCCCGGGTTTGGTATTGCAGACCGCACGTTTTCCAGGCTCAGGTGAGTGGTAGCGTTCGACGAAGAGGTCGCGGAAGCTGCTTGTTGGGATTGTGACCACCCATCCAGGCTTGACTGTGCCTCCCGCCTTCTTGGTCGGTCCACGGTCTGCGTGTCCCTAGGCCGGATGTTGCGCTTCACTGCCGGTGCTGTGGACGTCTCCGTAGGTCTTGCTCTAGGGAGTAACCCGGCAACCTTCACTACTCCAGAGTCCTGTGACCTTGGGGAAAACATTTACCTGAATCTTGATTTTTAAAAATTTTAAAATCTCTGTCAGGTGGAGATCGGAACGGTGTGAGCCTCTTGGTTATTGTGAGGATGTAGTGAGGCATTCTGCCGCACCTCTTCTCCACTTGAGTATGTATGAGACCCGGGATTTCTGATCCAGCAGGTCTGGGCTAGTGTCTGAGACTGTTTCTAACCAGCTTCCCCATGTCACACTTTGAGTAGCAAGACTCTAGTGTTTTGCTTAGAACTTTGAATCGGCTGAGTCTTAAGTAAATATTAATATAATATATGCCTTTCCCCCCATTTTTAGCAGGCAGTTTCCAATTTTACAAGCTTTTCTCAGGGTAGTATTGCTGTGACCTCTGTCTTTTCTTTCCGGAGATAGGAAACAGTTCTTTTTCTGTGCAAATCATGGCACACAGCTCTTCTGTCCTGACTTAAGGAACTTCGGGTGCTCATCCTTTACTAGGTACTTCAGCAGTTTCTTAGCGCCTCATAGCTTAGTATAAGCTGTTGGTTGATGCTTCATCCTGTGAAATTCATTGCCAAGTGCTTTAGCATTAACTGTGGCTGGTGTTTTGAGCTCCAGTCATATTTTCTGCATTTCAGACGCAGAGTGAGTAGTAACAACAGCTCATTTTTCAAAGGAAGGTTGTTCACCTTAGTGAATGAATGACCTTGAGCAAGGCTTTGCGTTTGCTCCTGTTTGTAGGCCCAAATAAAATCTGAAGACTATGGCACTGTACAGCAGAGAAAGTAGGCAGGGCCTCTGGCAGTATGCAAGACTGATATTTATTTTTCAATGTGGCTTCCCCCACCTACTGGTTTGACCTTGTCAAACATGACCTTGTCATTTATCTTGTCAGTGTTTGCATAAAGCAATTCTGAAGTACCTCCTTTGCTTGTGTGAAATACTGTACTCTGCTATCTTGAAGATTGCGAGAAGTAGGTAAAACTAAGAGTGCTACAAATGACCACTTATTTAGGAGTTTTCTTTTAATATTGTGTAGATGCTCATACTTTTTGAAAAAAAGATTTTTGTTATCCCTCCTATAGGTTCATTAGATGGACATGAGCATGTGCTTCTGAATGGTGTTATATGGACTGTGTGTCTTTTCTTTTTTTTCTAGACTGGATCTTGCTTTGTAGTGTAGGCTGGCCTTGTACTCACTACGAAGCCCACAGCCATCCTTCTGCCTCAGCCTACCAAATGCTGGAATTACAGGCATGCACCATCCCTGGTTTGGAGAGAATTTTTGAAAATAGGGTCGTGGCCGCAGGCTCATTGGCACATGCCTGTAAAGACTGCCTTCCTGGGGCTGGGGATTTAGCTCAGCGGCATAAGCACCTGCCTTGTAAGCAGGCAGTCGTGAGTTCAATCCCTGGTTCCGATAAAAATGAAAAAGACTGCCTTCCTCTGGCTCCCTTTCTCTAAATTCTGGCTGTAGTTTAAAAGGAAGCTATTTGGCCTTTGACCTGAAAAATAAAAAGGAAAGATTACTTACTCCTAGTCCTGTGTGGTGACACATGCTTATAATTCCACCACTCTGGGAGACTGAGGCAAGGGGACTACAAATTCATGTCCTGCCTGGGTAACTCAGATCCTGTCTCAAGATTTAAAAACAATTTAATTGGTTGGTTGATTGATTGAGCTGGGGATTGAACTCAGGATCTTGTACTTACCAGGCAGGTGCTTATGCCGCTGAGCTATACCTCTGGCCAAAACAATTTTTTTTTTATCGGTACCAGGGATTGAACTCAAGACTGCGTGCTTGGAAGGCAGGCTCTTATGCCGCTGAGCTAAATCCCCAGCCCCCAAGCCAAAACAATGTTTAAAAGAAGGGCTAGGGACATAGCTCAGAGTAATGGCCCTGTGTTTAATCCCCAGTACTGAAAAAAAAATTCCTTGTTCATTATTCAGGGTGATGGAGGTAGTACCTTTTGGCATCCAAGGCTCTCTGAGACTTCTCCCTGATTCATTAGGTTTCCAAAAAAAAAAAAAGTAAAAAGAGGGTAAATTGGGGTACTAACCTAAGAAAGGAGTTTTGTGCAGTAATATGATATCCGATGTCTTTGAGCCTTTTGTGAAGGAGCCATGTCTACTGAACATCCTATAGTGTGTGTGCATGCGTGCGTGTGTGTGTGTGTGTGTGTGTGTGTGTGTGTGTGTGTGTGTGTGTTTGAGACAGTGTCTTGCTCTGTAGTCTGGACTGGCTATGAATTCACTGTATAATCTAGGTTGGCCTCAAACTCAATAGTCCTCATGCCTCAGCTTCCTGACTGCTGGAATTACAGGGATGCACCATCATCATGCTTGGTTCATGATATTTTTCTTGTGGCTTCTCTGTTAGCCTTTGAATGAGGAGGAGTTCTCTCTTGGGTGTTTTTTCTATCTGGACACCAGCCACATCCACCTTTTCATCTTTGCAGTATCTTGTCTCCCCGTTCCCTATTCTGCTGCTTGTCTGCCTTGTTTTTCTTCTCTTCCTTTTCCACACTACTTAAAACCTAGCTTTTGAAGTGGTTATGTTTCAGACTACTGTATAGAACCTGTAGTGTAACTCTAAATTGCCTGCTGAAAAAGTATGCAGTCAAGGTTTGCTATTTGCAGTTTGGTTACTCTTGCCTGGAACATTCCTTGTCATTTACATTTCTATTACCTAGAATTTATTTTTTAAAAAAGTCCTCTAGTTCAAGGCCAGCCTGAACTACATAGCAAGACCTTGCCTCAAAAAACCAGGAAACAGGGCCAGGGATTGAGCTCAGTGGTACAAACACCTGCTTGGCAAACTCGAGGTCCTGAGTTCGATCCCCAGTATCAAACACAAAACAACAAAAAACTCTTCACAATAGCCAGGTAGGTCAATAGAGCTTATACTAAATGTTAATTTTTTTTGTTCCTTACTGCCTTTATTTTTGTTGTCTGGAAGCACTTTCAGTGTTTCTTTTACCATTTCTAAATAACACATTTAAGTTGTTATCTATATTTGTTTCTTTATTTTATAGAGATAGGGTCTCACTTTGTTGCCCAAGCTGTTCTTTTTTTTTTTTTTTTTTTTTTTTTTTTGTCTTTTTCCTTTTTATTGGTACCGGGAATTGAAATCATGACTGCCTGTTTGCAAGGCAGGCACTTATGCCACTGAGCTAAGCCCCCAGCCCCTACCCAAGCTGTTCTTGAATTCCTGCATTCAAACAATCCTGCCTCTATCCTGAGTAATTGGAATTAAAAGTTTTGGAGTTTGTTTTGCAGTGCTAGGGATGAAACCCAGGGTTTTATGTATGTTAAGCAAGTACTCTACTACTGAGCTACACCCTCAATCCCATTTTGATATTTCTTGATTTCTAAGTTGTATGTATAAAACCTTTTGACATCTTTATTTTGGATTTTGAGATTCTTAACATATCTCCTACCACATCTCTTTTGATACTGGGGATTGAACCCAAAGCTTTCACACTGAGCTACTGTACTCTTTAAACCTTTTTTATGCTAAGACAGGGTTATCTCTGTGTTGAGTTCCCAGGGTAGGGTCAAACGTGAGGTCTACCTTCCTCGGTCTCACAGAGTCCTGGAATTATAGACATGTGTGCCACCACGGCCAGCTGGAATCCCTGGGTCTCTTATGTGGATCTCCTCTTACTCTACTTCCTGTCCCTATATCTTTCCAATATAATATGGCTCGCTCGCAATTTTTGGCTAGGCTGTTGCTCCGAGTTTATATTAATAAAATGTAAATATTGTTAACACTTACGCAGGGAGTATGACAATATTTTCTGTCTTGTACAATTTTTTTCCTTTGGTTTTTTTGAGACAGGATTTCACTGTGTGTAGTTCAGGCTGGCCTTGAGCTCACTTTGTACCCCAGGATGGTTTCATTTATGATCCTCCTGCCTCAACCTCCCAAGTGCTGGGATTAAAAGCATGGGTCACCACACACAGTTTACCTTTACAATTTTCTTTGGTCTTTCCTGGAGTTATTTTTGTCATTATTGGCTTGATTTTCTGTCACTCATTTGTCCCCAAATTATCTATTAGACCTATAATTCTTTTTTTTTTTTTTTTCTTTTTCCTTTTTATCAGTACCAGGGATCGAACTCACAACTGCCTGCTTGCAAGGCAGGCGCTTATGCTGCTGAGCTAAATCCCCAGCCCCCTAAAACCCATTTTTTCATGAGAATTTCAGTCTTTCAGGTCGTCTTTGTTCTTTTTTGTAAGTATTATAACTAGCAAATCCTAGAAAACTATATTACTAGAAGTGGGAAGGACTTCAGTTGTTTATTTTTTGATTGGTTCTCTCTATGTAATTCAAGTCACCCTTGAATTTGCAACCCCCTTGATTCAGCTCCCTGAGTGCTGGGATTACAGGTTTATTATCAGTGCTCTTGGGAGGGATTTTAATGCATACCTTCAATTACCTGCTACCTGGTAACTCAGACTGTGGGTCATTCAGCTGTACTCTCCACCTCCAGCTCTGGACCCTGTGTTTCATGATCCCCATTCTTGTCTGTACATGCCAATTATGTGAATTTTAGGATCAGGCAGTCTTTGATGTCAAGTCCCACTTGATCCTTTGTGTAACCTGTAGTGGGTTTCTTTACTTTGTAAATTCTGTTCATAGATAATGTGGAGCTAATAAGCTCATTTAACAGAAAGGTTGTAGGGATAGGAACTAATGTAGATAAAACAACTTGTACAAGACTCTGAGCCTTAGCCAGGCATGGGTGGCACATTTCTGTAAATATCAGCACTTGGGAGGCTGAGGCAGGAGGATCACCATGAGTTTGAGACCAGCCTGGGATACATAGTAAGTTCAAGGCTAACCTGAACTACATAACGATACCCTATCTCAAAAAGCAAAAAACAAACAAACAAAAAAAAAGACTGAACCTTGGCACAGAGAAGGCAGTGAGGTGATTGTAGCTCTTGTTTGTATCTTCAAATTTAACCTGCTTTTTATTTCAGTACTGAAGATTAAACCCAGGCTTCATACATGCTAGACAACTACTCTAACCTTAGCTACATCCCTAGACCTTTCTTTCTTTTTTTTTTGAGACAAGGTTTCTCTAAGTTGCTCAGGCTGGCCTTGAAGTTGTGATGTTCCTGTCATAGCCTCCTGAGTAGTTAGAATTGCAGGTGTGCACTGTTATGCCTGGTCTTTGCATATATATATTTGTATATATTTTTTAGACAGGGTTTTGCAAACTAGCCCAGGCAAGGCTTGAACTCACTATGTAGCACAGGCAGGCCCTAAACTCATGTTTCTGCTGCCCAGGGTCTTGAGTGCTTGAATTATAGGCAGGTACCCTCATGTCCAGCTTTGGCCTGTATTTTCAAAAATCAAAAAGACCACATCAATTCAAAACAATGGCTCTGTGCTCACTTTGGCAACACACATACTAAAATTGGAGTGATCCAGAGATTAGTATGGCCCCTGTGCAAGGATAATGTGGAAGTTCGTGAAGCATTTCATATTTTTAAAATAAAAAATGAGTTGGACATGTAAAACAAAACAAAACACCCCAGCAAAAACAAAATAGTGGCTCTAAACCAGGTATGGTGGCTCACGCCTGTAATCCCAGTTACTCAGAAGGCTGAGACAGGAGGATGGTTGTGAGTTTGAGACCAGCCTGGGCTACAAAGTGAGCTCAAGGCCAGCCTGAACTGCATAATGAGACCCTCTCTCAAAAGGACAAAAAAAAGTGGCTCTACACCAGACGTTGATGTTCTAGACAATTTTGTTTATTTCAGGACCATATACAGTAATTTCATTAATTACTTTGAGTTAGAATTAATTTAGGTAATTATATAGAGGTATTTGTTAACTTATATAGTCTTTCTTATTAACAGTTCTAAGCTCCCAAAAAGAGAGTTAATTCATCAAAGATAATAGGAAGTTTTCCCACAAAGAAACTATGTAGTTAATATTTCATTTTTCATTTGTTTCTTTGTTCTTTTGAGACAGGGTCTCACGATATAGTTCAGGCTAGCCTTGAACTTACTATGTATCCCAGGCTGCCCTTGAACTCACATTGATCCTCCTGTGTCAGCCTCCCGAGTACTGGGATTACAGGTGTGCACCATTGTATCTAGCCCTTTTTTTTTTTTTTGGCGTCCCTGGGTGGGCCCTTTTTTTAAAAATGTGTATTTTAGGTGATGGCACTTGTTTGTATATTTTTGTTCCATGGAAGATTTATGTATACATTTCCATGTACTCATGTTTGCTACATTTATAGTACTGTAAATCAGCCTCTTTTATTACGTGAACGTTTAGTTGTTTTCAGTTTATCATTTTAGGTTATAGTATGTGGTTTGTAAAAAATAGGTTTTAGTAATCAAATTTTTTTTTTGGTACTGGGGATTGAACTCATAACCTTAAGCTTGTCAGACAGGTACTTGTGCCACTGAGTTAAATCCCCAGCCCAAAAAATAGGTTTTAAAAGTTATTTCCATCTAGGTGTAGTGGTTCACATGTATAATTTCAGCACTCTTGGAGGCTAAGACAGAGGATTGTAGGTTTGAGCCAGCCTGGGCAATTTAGCAATATTCTGTCTCAAAATAAAATTTAAAAAGAACTGGAGATGTAATTTAGTGCAGAGACCCTGGATTCAGTCTCTAGTGCTGAAAAACAAAATCAAAACAAAAAATAATAAAGTTATTTCATAAGATCTGGTTGCAAAATGAGATGAGAGAGTTGAACAGTTTTATACTGGTAGACTAAATTTAAATTCCATAGTATAAAGCAGGTTTTCTTAACTCTATAGCTGGAGCATTCTGTTACCTACTTTCTCTTTTATTGTCATCCTGCTTATGATACTGTATTGAGATTCCTAGTGACTATTTTGAAACATATAATTTGTTTTCTTTCCATGTTGGTGGTGCTGGGGATTGTAAATCATTCCAGCCTCCTCAGAATCCCAGTGTGGTCTACCTGTTGGTGGCTTAGGTTTCCTCTCGTTTTGCCTTTCAAGCTTTGGCGCCTAAGTGGAAAGAAAGAGTAAGCATTGAGGAAGGCAGGAGTATAGCAGTCAGTTCCTAGCCTCTCTCATGATTTCTACTAGGGGAAAATGAGAATTGTATTCTCATAAAGTAGAGTGAAGATAGTGTGAGCACTGACTCAGGAGGCATTGCTGATCTGCTTTCTCCAAAAGAAAGCTGCATGGTCCCCCAGTGTGTCAGCAAGATACTCATGTAAATAACTCTGGCTTCTGAACCTGGAGCCCAGCTTTGAGCAGTTCTTTACTTCCTGCCCTTAAATTTGATAGTAAGCAAGATCTTGCTTGACTTTTTCCCTTCTCCTGCCAATATGAGTGAAGTTTGTTAGCTTTTTGGTAGTGATAGTGGTTTTTTGTTTGTTTCTTTGTTTTGCGGGGCTAGGGATTGCTTCCTTCTGCAAGGAAGATTAGATCGAGCTGCAGTCTAGGAACTACCCAGTAGCCCCTGGATTTAGAGTTTTCCTGTGGCCTTCAGAGTTTATCCTTGATACATGCTAATTTGTGATTTGGGCATTCACTAGTATTAAACTTATTTGAGTAGATACTAGAGTAGTGTGAATCTTATTTCTTAAAATGTGGAAATTTTGGTATTGTGATAGGTAGAAGCCACTCATTCTTCATCTACCCTTTTTTCAGTATCTGGCACCAATTCTGGCCCAGTCATTTGTGATCCATGGCTCTTGTGATATGCCGAAGATACCCAGGCAGGTTCTGTGGAACATCTCCTTGCTCAGCTCTAATCAAGCACCACATAAACAAGAAATTGCCTGGTCGCACATGTGAGGACTATACTCTGACTGTCAAAAAGATCAATACTGACAGAATGACAGCCAGTCTCAAGTCATTAAAACCTTTAAAATATCAAACATTTTGCAATCCTGTTATCTACAGTGCAACCCAAAGTATACTGTATTGGAATATGGGAAGCAGCAGGTGGTACAGGGGACAGGACCATCCAGCACACAGTGGCCCCTGCCATCCTGCTAGAAGAATGAAGAACATTGGTGGTACCACCTCATCTCAGAGACTCCTCACAACTAGCAGCACCCTTTGGGGCTTGGGATTTCACAAGGCTTCTGCTTCAAAGGCCAGCACATTGCAGCTAGGTTTGCCCGAGACCGTGAGAGCTGATGAAGAGGATGTAGAAGTTTTTGATTCCTTTAAAGATACTCGACTTTTCCTTCAGCTAAGGCCAGAGTACCAGCTTCACAGCCATAGCAACTCAGAGACTTGTCAGCCTCTGTCTATTTCAGAGAGTAAACTAATTTTGCTCAAAGTCAAAGAGTATCAAAATAAACTCCCACGTCAAACCATTGTCGATTATTTCTGTAAGCTGAGCACTTTGCCTACAGAGCAGCATCCCGTTTTGCTGTCGAGTGCCAGCTTTGCTCTGCTCTGCCAGCTGAGTGTGAAAAACATAAGATTCTTTGATATCCCAGATCTGATCAGTATTTTAAAAGCATTTGTCAATTTAGAAATCCCTCACTCCCACCCAGTGCTGAATGTGTTTGAAACCAGATTCAGCCAGCAGGTATGGGAGATGAGTCTGGATCAGCTTCTCTTGGTGGCTGATCTCTGGAGGTGCTTAGGCCGCAAAGCACCTCGGTTCTTCAAAATTTTTTTCAGTTATCTTAATTTGCACTGGAAAGATCTGTCTCTGTCCCAGTTGATTCATTTAATTTATGTTATAGGTGAAAATCGTCAAGTACCACAGGACCTAATGCAAAAACTGGAATTATTGATCCTTAAGTATATAGATTTGATCAATTTAGAAGAAGTTGGTACAATCTGCTTGGGCTTCTTTAAGTCAAGTAGTAATCTTTCCGAATTTGTCATGGAGAAAATTGGAGATTTGGCTTGTGCTGACATGCACCATCTAAGTAGTCATGCCTTAGTGCATATTCTTAAAATGTTCCGTTTCACTCACGTGGATCACGTGAATTTCATGAAGCGGTTTGTAGAGATTGCGCCTCAGAGAATTCCTTCCCTGGGGGTTCAGGGTGTCATGCACTTGACTCTTGCATGCTCAGCCTTACGCATGTTGGATGAAGGTATAATGAATGCTGTGGCTGCCTCTTTGCCTCCTAGAGTAGTACATTGTCGAAGTAAAGATGTTGCCAAAATTCTGTGGTCATTTGGAACTCTGAATTACAAGCCACCGAACACCGAAGAATTTTATTCCTGCTTAATACGTGAAATTCACAGAAAGATGCCTGAATTCAACCAATACCCGGAACACCTGTTGACCTGCCTGCTTGGTCTAGCGTTTTCTGAATACTTTCCAGCAGAGCTCATTGATGTTGCTCTGAGCCCAGGGTTTGTCAGGTTAGCACAAGAAACATCTAAGTTTCAACTTACTAAGGAACTGTATACTCTAGATGGTACAGTTGGCATTGAATGTCCAGATTACAAAGGCAATCGTCTTGGTTCTCACCTTCAGCAAGAGGCATCTGTGTATATGTGGGAGTTAGCAAGGAAGGATATGAACTCAAAGCCTGAATTCCTAGAAGCTCTCACTTTTCTTGAGATCATGTTGGGTGGCCCCCAGTATGTCAAGCATCATATGATTTTACCTCACACACGATCTTCTGACTTAGAGGTGCAGCTCGATGTTAACATGAACCCAATACCATTTAACAGTGAAGCCATACCATCTGAGGACAAGGCCAGTTTGAAGCTCAAGCGTGTGGGAGTCAGCCTTACAGATGATTTGATGAATCAGTTGCTAAAAGGGAAAGCAAAAAGGCATTTTCAGACAGAAATTGAGTCAGAGACCGGGCAGTGCCCCATGAAGTTGGAGAAGACAGCTGTGCCGTTGGGGAGCAACCTTTGTGATGTGGCAAATTGCCCAGGAGCTGTTGACATGACTGGCTTGTATCCCCCACTCCATGTGCAGGCCCCACAAATGAAACTAGCCATTCAGTTCACACATAGGAACCAGTATTGCTATGGTACTAGGAATCTACTTGGACTGCACAATATGAAGCGGCGGCAGCTGGTTCGACTTGGGTACCATGTGATTGAGTTACCCCACTGGGAGTGGTTCCCGCTCTTGAAACAGACTCGTTCAGAGAAGCTGGCGTTCCTCCATGAAAAAGTGTTTGCATCCGTACTCTGAACAGCCTTCAGGAGCATTTCTTATAAAATTTTTAGGTGTATATGGTACCAGGCATATTGATACTGAAAAAGTTTTAGATTTTGGAGCATTTTGGGTTTTAGATTTTCACATTAGGGATACTTATGGTAGTCTATGCAGTTATTTCCAAATCTGAAACCTGAATTCCAAACCTGAAATAAATGTGATAATAAAATAATCTGTTAAGGAGACTTCTGTTCTTGTCTGTAGCAGAGGGACTTGGTGTATATTACTGTGAATTAATTATAACCTGCAGCAGGAGTTGCTGCTAATTTGTACATATTATTTTTTTTTCTTTTTTTTTTTTTTTTTTTGTCTTTTTCATTTTTATCGGTACCGGGGATCGAA